ATGACCTGAGCCGAAGTCGGACGCTTAACCGACTGAGCCACCCAGGCGTCCCAGTCCTTATTTTCTTTTAAAGGATGAAATTGTCCCTTGTTGGGAGAATAACATAGTAACTTTTGCTTATCAAAGCTTACTTGTCAAGTATTTTTTTTTAATTTTTTTTTAACGTTTATTTTATTTTTGAGACAGAGAGAGACAGAGCATGAACGGGGGAGGGGCAGAGAGAGAGGGAGACACAGAATCAGAAACAGGCTCCAGGCTCTGAGCTATCAGCACAGAGCCCGACGTGGGGCTTGACCTCACGGACCGCGAGATCATGACCTGAGCCGAAGTCGGACGCTCAACCGACTGAGCCACCCAGGCGCCCCTTGTCAAGTATTTTTAAGTTAAAAAGAAAGAAGAAAGGAAGGTGCAGGACTGAGCCCTAGGAAGGCCTGACCACCCAAGATGGGGTGCGGCGGAGTTATCTGGAAAACTGAGAGACTGTGGTTTAAACACCAGAGGTCAATAAGCTATGTGGCCTGGGGCCATCAGCACAAGGTGGGGGACGAGAAGGAGGGGGCGTCAGCAGCTGGCAGATTCTGGTTCCTACCAGCTGCCCGCTCCTGCCCTCCATCCCAGCTGCTGCACCTGGCCCTGGTCCTGATGAGCCAGGATCTCCCGAGATCATTCCACCCCGGGGCCCAAGACCCCGATTGGAGAGCCAGGCTCCTGGTTACTTACACCCCGCAGTGGACTCTGCCTTTGAGGTTTGGGACAAGTCACTTCCTCGCTCTGGGCCTCAGTTCCCCCACTTGTACGTTGGGAAAATTGAACTACATCAGACCCCAATATTTTCAAGAATGAGGATCCTGCTTCACTCACACACACACACACACACACACACACACACACACGGGCACGCACACAAATGCCCTTGAGTATCATATGACAGTTGCTCAGCGTGGAGTCCGACGTGGGGTTCAACCCCCGAACCGTGGCATCGTGACCTGAGCCGAAATCCAGAGTAGGACGCTCAACCGACGGAGCCACCCAGGCACCCCCACAATGTGGTTTTTTTAACTAAGGAAAGCGGGGACGAGGGGGGAATACTGGAGATGAGACTGAGGTCGACAATGAGGCACAGCAGAGCTGGTGTCTCAGCTCCGTCCAGGGGAGAGTGGAGGGGGCGTCAGGGAAAAGCTTGTGGGCAAAACCCCAGACGTGGGACCACTGAGCTATTGGGGTTTGGAACTGCCAGTCTCTCTGGGAAGCAACCCAGGCTGTCGCTGGAGCCCTCATCCCACGGGTGCCATGCTCTCCCCTCCCTGTGTTCACCCCGGAAAAAGCACCTGGGCGGTAGGGGCCTCCAGGAGGGGGCCTCACTGTACACGCAAGTCAGGGAAGCCTACCTGCAGGAGGAGTTCAGAAAGGGCTCGAAGGGAGGAAAGATTAGAGGAGGTAGAGATGCAAAGAGGGCGTTCTAGAGCAAAGACACCGAGACGGGAAAGCAGAGGGTGCGTCCGGGGCTCAGGGAGGGAAGCCACGGTCTAGAGCAGACGGCATGGAGGGGAGGCATGAGAAACGAGTCTGGCAAGGGGGCGGGGGTCGAGCGGGGTGGACAAGGGCACACAGGGGTCTGAGCACCAATGCCCTCAGGCTTCCCGCACCTGGCTTTCACGGGGCCCTGAGGGATTACCCTCCGTTGCACAGAGGGGACACTGAGTCACAGACAGGCACCCAGCTGGAAGGTAACAGGCGGAATCCACACACACACAGGCTGCTGGCTCAGCCTCAGCCCCGGGATCCCACACACAGGTCTGCCTCTCTGGGATACAGGGCCCCGGGCTCCAAGAAGGAAAGCGAGCGGGAGTCCCAGGCAGCCGAGGATGGGACCCAGCTTCCTGGGTCTCTCATCCGGCTCCCCGTGGACGGGAGGCTGGGCTCAGCA